CGGCGAGGACGGCGACGGGAGGCGCCATGGCTCTGCCGGGTAAGGGCACCTAGCCGGGTCAGCGGGGAGACAAGGGGCAATAGCCGGCTGGCTCCTGGGCTGGGATATTGGGAAGGGGAAATAAGGTGAAGATTGTTGGAAAATTACGCGGGGAGGGTGCGCGACCGCGCGTCCTAGTGGGAAGTGTGAGGCGGGGAGGGCGGTGGTGTGTCGTATCTCCCTAAGGCCCCAGGGGCTGCCGGTGAGAAACGTTGCTCTGGTCTGCACGGCCGGTTTTCTAAACCAGCTGGCATGGGGGCTGCGGGATAGCTAGCTAGCTAGCCAGCCGCGGGAGGGAGCGTGGTATCAGGCCAGCTGTCGGCGAGTGCAGCCATGCAGTCGCTTCCTTCTAGGCCTGCGGGCCCTCTCCCCAAGGTTTTGGATGAGTGATCACCAAGTGCTACGTTCCTATTGTCTGTGTAAGCCACCTCCTTTAAAGTTACATCCGAAGAATGGTTGTTGTCAGACTTGGGTTTCCTACTCATCTTCAGGATTGTTTTGGATTAATGTTTGTCCTGCTAGACCATTGTTTAAATAGATCTGTTGAGAATGATGGTGGGACTGGACAGGCAGAAACACGTATTTGCAATGTATTTAAATCTGTGTTAGCCAAACACACAGCCATTGTTTTATAATTTTTTCTTGATCTTGAGACATGAGGAGTGTTTGGTTGGACAAGCCAGAGCTTTGGTAAGTTTCTTCTCTTAAGAAAAGTTAAGACCTTAATAAGCTTGCTCCCATTTTAGAAGTGTTTTTTGAGGAAGACATCTCATGTTGGCGTTCAAAGGTTTCCAAAGCTTTTTTTGCACCCTTGTGCTCCATTAAATGAACGAGGTCCTTAGTGATGGTTGCTAGTGTGTTGGTTGTTAATTTTCTTCAGGATTAACACCTGGGAAGAAGGGAGTGAGAAGAGGAAGCTTCTAGTAATTTATTTGCTTTTAATCATCTAAAACTTCATTTAGTCTAAACCCCTGCTTCTAACATTTATTATTTAAGGCCGAAACCACTAATATTTCAGTCTTAGGAATTTGGTGACAATGGTCTTGTCATCTGCTGTGTGTTTCTGTTGGAAATCCTGACAAATGGCACCTGCACGTATTACAGGAGATTTTGTAGCATGTGCGTGACTGTACTGACCTCCCTTGCATGGAGTACCAAATCTTTACCTACCTACAGGTCAGTTATGCAGTAGGGCTCAAATACTCAGTATTTCTGAAATCTGAGACAAAATAGGTAACTTGGGTGATCTTGCTGTCTAGTCACAGGCTGTAGTGAACAAGCAGATGCTGTTTTGAGTATTTCTTTGGCGTGATGTTGCGAGATACAGGTATATTTTTTGCCTTGCTTCTTGATACTTCTTCCATGTTCCGTACCTCCTTACCTCTCATAGGTTTCTCTGAAAAGATACTCATAAAACAGGCACCTAAACACTGCTGAATTTATAGGCCTCGAAGGGAATTTGCAATACTGAGGTTGGGGGATCTGCAGAAAACTTTGTGTCCTAATGGAATGTATGTGTCTTTCTTGCTTACCTTTCCAGTACTCTTCCGTACAGGGCATAGACCAGTGAGTTGTCCAAGTTTCCAAGTTAGTTTTTCGACCTGGGGTTTGAAGGCTTCTCTTTTATTTTGAGTATGATTTTCTAAAGACAGTGCTTGTCTCAGTACAGGAAAGTTTAAATTCATCAAGCTGATGTACCCCCTTTGTGGTTCTCTAATTTCTGTCATGTAATGTTCTTGTTATGTTTGCTTAATTATTTATTTAAATAAACATTCTAGTTTTCAGAAAACTGCATATAATTCTGTAAGTCACTGGTTTTTTCATGATCTATTCAGTTGGAGGATAGAAGGGCACCTTTTGATTTTGGAAATTCAGTTGCGAGTTTCAGTTTGAATAGACTGCAATGATTAAAAGCAAGACTAATCTATTTGGAGGGGCAGGTCTTTGGGGTTTCTCTTCTGAGTCATGTTCTACTATGTCTATTTAACTTAAGTTTGGGCTCAGATGGGAAAATCACACGTTTTCTGTACCTAACATTTGCACTATTCTGGTCCTTCTTCCTGCATACCATGTGCAGACTTTTACTCTTCACTTTATTCCACATTTGCTTTCTTGCACCCATTAATTCTTTAATTTGGTGTAATGTATGTTGCCTGGATTCAGAATCATTTAACAATTTGTTTAGCGCTTTTTTTTTTTAATTGCCTCTAGCTGTCTTGTCATTTCAGGATTGGTTGTTTATCTCTTTTTTTAATTGCCTTTTAAAGATAGTTCTTGTAATTAAAGTATAAATTACTTCAGAGTTTCCAGTGAATGTCTGTCAACATCCGTGTATTGCTAGAATTTATAAGTACACTTTCTGTGCACAGTTATGGATCACAGAATGTCAGATTACGGTGTTCATACTGTAACTAAACAAATGCATAGGCTTTCAGAGAAATGGAATAATTATTAAAATGGAAAGATCATAATAAATCAAATGAGGATTTGGCAATAAGTTACGTGAAACTAAATGATCCGTAGCAGTTTATAATAGCCAAATTTGTTCTGATAGATTACTGCAGAGAAAAGTGACCTTGGAAATGCACTGGTTTGCTTTTCTTTGAGGTTTTTTAAGATATCTTGGTGTACTTAATACTCTGAGGAGTACTCTCTCCTATCTGTATATTGACATTATGAAGGCAAATTTAAAAGAAACTTGAGAGTTCTGTTTATGAACATCTAATTAATGAAATTTTCTCTTTCAGGTGGAAATAAGGATAACATCAGAGCAGGATGCAAGAAGTGTGGCTACCGTAAGTCTGTACTAAGCGATATGAAGTTACAGCGTTTCCTTCAATTTATGATGTTGGAACTGCCTTTTGAGGAAGGGAGGGGGGGAATAAAAAAGAAGTGTTCTGCCTTGTTGCCCAGACATTTGTCAGTTTAAATTACCTTTTTTTTTTTTTTAATTTATTTATTTCCTATTCATTCTCTGGCTTCTCACACCTATTGCTGCTTTTGAAAACCCTTGAGTTTCTCAGAAGAATAAAGTATACTATGGTATTAATATATACTGCATTTGCAATGAATGACTTGAGAAACTTTGAATTGAAAGCTTAGTCTTTGATATCTACTGAGATTAGTATTTGTGCTTCTTCTGAATCTCACTGCAAACTTAAGGAGGCATTTCAGATCAAGTTAAGTCCAATTTGTTTTAAAAGAAAAAATAATTTAAAGTCTGTGTGATCTTCTGTGCTAAGAAAATATAGTACTTTGTGTGTTCTATATTTCAAGAAACAGTTAATTTTCTCACAGTTCTGTAGTTAGCATTTAGATCATGCTTTGCAGTATGCTCTGATCATATAAGCATGTCTGTGGCTACTCTCCTGATGAATGGAGACAGGTCTTAGTGAAGATTTTAATTTGTTAATCACTAAATTATTTTTAGAACAACGGATGGGTGGACATTGTTTTGCAGTGAATTGTGTTGAACTTCTAACAGAGTAATTTAATCTGGTTTTTTTATGAGTGTTATGTGGGGTGAAGTGGAAGAAAAGCTTGCTTCGTTCTTTCACTGTAGGCTTTGCCTCCAACAAGTTTTGTCAATGAATTGCTTTCTGTATCTCTTCTTCCAAAGGAACATGGATATCAATATAGATTTAGTGCTTCATTTCTACATGCACTAAGTATCAGAAGCTTTCTGGAAGAGAAGGAAACTTATAGTCAAATCACACAACCTGTATTTATGTTCCTAAAAGCTCTGTCTTCAAGCTGTAGGTATTTTAATATGAAGAAGAAGAGTTTATTTCAATTGCTACTTGAATTCCTGCTTTTTTAGCTTAGTTTCTCACAAGCCATATCTTCAATTTGTTCCTGTTTCTCTTTATTATTCCAATAGATGCATTCAGTACAAGGTTTCTAGCTCTGGTCATGATTATTGATAAGTAACTTAGAAAACTAAAAATACTAGTCAAATTGTAGCTTAGTATTATGTGCTGGTTGTTAAACATTATGTCTCATAAGCGAATAAGCTTCTATTTTGCTAAAGAGAGACAAAAAGAGCGATATAACATGCTTGCTGTAGTTTTTCAAATACTTCACTTTCTTCAAGAGGGATCCAAGACCATTAAAAAAATAGAAAGTAGAAGTTGGACAAAATCTTTAATTTAACAGAAATAAGAGGGAGGTCATAAAGCACTATTAAATGGAATAACATTGCACAACCTGTCAAAATTCTTTGAGGCTTTTTCAAAGTAAGCCTTCTCCATCCTCGTTCACAGATTGCAGCCTAGCCTTTTTTCACTTCTCAAAACTGAATAACACTAAAATGGATTTTCTTTAGTTTCTGATGTTTTTGGTAAATTGTAATTTTTCTTTCTGAATATTTGTTTTGTTCAGCTGGTCATCTGACATTTGAATGTCGAAACTTCCTCCGAGTAGATCCTCAAAGAGATATTGTTTTGGATGTTAGCAGCACTAGCAGTGAAGACAGTGAGGAAGAAGAACTACAGAGATTGCAAGCCATGCGTGAAAAAAAGAGTAAGTTGGTTTTTGTTTTGTATTTTTCTTTAAGACTAAATTGGATAATGGTCTTCTGAAGTACTGGAACTCTCATTTTTGCCTTTTTGATAACTACTATTAGTTCTTTTAGCCTGTGCTTTTAATGTAGGTCTTTTACTTCATGTGTTCAGACTTCAGAGATTTGACACACCCACATCTTTTTTTATTATTATTAATTCCTGTCATAGGAAATTAATAATGTACCCATTTGGAGCATCTCAAAAAGAGCTCCTAAATACAAAAGATTATAAAGAGTGTTACTAAAAAGCTGCTCAGGAGAAAAATGACATGGAAGTTCTGAATTAAACTTTTGATTATAGCATGTAGCTTAAACATCTTAAAGTTGATAATAACTCTTTAATGAGAAATATGATAGCTGAATTTCACTGCAGTTTCTAAGTAGTGTTTTCACTGAAACAGCTAGTGAATTGAATTTAAACATTCATATTTGGAGAAGTACTGTTCTCTGTTTGGAAGGTCTGAACATGAACAGTGTGTCAGAGAGTGAATAGATAGGTTATTTAGCAGATATTTGAGTTCATTTGAATTTGGACTCCAAAAGGCTGTTCCCCTAAGTAAGAAGGGGAGCTTGTTTCACCATACAATGCATGAATGTTCTTTTGCTCTGCCCCTCAAAAGGTCATGTTTTGTTCTGCTGCTCTCACATTCCAGACTCAATGTTCAGTTCCTACTAAAGATGCTATTTAGGAAGGAGAAGGGATAGATGGAACCCTGTAATTCGCTGGAACACTTCAAAAGAAGTGGGTACTCTGCTTGTCAGGAGTGCTGAATTGGTACTGCAACAGTCCTTTCTTGGAACAAGTCTCTTTGGAAAAACTTGTTCCCACTTTTTACATGCTTTTGTTTGTAAGGAGGGTTTTTTGTCCCTAAACTGATTGAAGATGGGTATTTGCAGGAAAAACACATTTACTTGATCTTGTAATAACACTTGTTTATTATATGTCCTTTCTCAAACTTTGGCTGCTATGTGTGCAGTCAGTAATCTAGGCAGGATTTTGCCATTTTCATGTGGCCTCGTCATTTTAAGATTTTTGCGTTGTTTGCACTTACATTTTTTCTAAAAAAAAAAATAGTTCTTTTTCACACATTCTTGTTCATGGTTTTTAATTGTTCCAAAAGGAATTTGCTTTTTGTAACTCATATTGAAGTCTTTCAAATTTTGTTCCAGAACATACAAACCAGTAATTTCTATTTGTGGTAGCAAATGAATAACCGCACTAGTATGCAGACTTCATGGAAAGTTATTTGTATGATAGAAATAAGATTAAATGTTTTAAACGAGCTATCGTTTTAAGGCTAAATTGTAAAGCCAGTAGTTTCCTATTAGTTGACACTGTAATGTGTATTTATGTAGTGGACTTGCATTTCAGAGAATTGAAAAATACTTTTTGAACTGGTATAGAGAACTCTAAGGTCAGAAACTTCATCCAGTATGATAAAAATATTGATTAAAAATATTGCTTCTAAGTGAAATGTGAAGACATACAATATTATACAGTGTTAGGGCAGGAAACAAACATGACCAGATGAGGCGTGACTCTTCTGCCAATTTTTGTAGACAGTATATTGGCAGTTAATTCAAATTTATCGTAGTTATGGCACAGTTATTTGTGAAGTGTGAAATGAGGACATGTAAAAATAATTCAGGTAAGCATAAGGGAATTTTTTTTTTTTTAATATGTTCTAGTTAAATGATCTGGTTTCAGACTTGGGCAAGTCTTAAAATACAGAAGAGCAAATATGAAAACCTAAAGCTGGTGTAAACATACAAGAAAAGTCAAAACTTTTTGCTATGTTTTATGGGCCTTCCTTCATTCTTACTGCTTAGATCAAAGTAATTAGAATGTGAGTGTTATAAATTCTGCTACTCTGCAAAATATTTCTGAAATTGCTGTACTAGACCAGAATTTGGAAGTAGGAAAAGAAAAACATTTAACAAGAATTTTGTAGTAACTTTACATTGCTATTGAAGCCACTTTTTTAATACTGATCTTAATTCAGACAAGTGTTTTGTGAACTGTAACTTTTTATCCACAGATTTCAATGAGGAGGAAGAAAAAAAGAAAGAAAAAAGAAGAAGCAGAGAAAAAACAAAATTAAAGAGACCAAGGAAAAGGTAACTCTATCACTCACCTATTTTAATTTCAAAACAACTTTAGAAATGTTTCTGTTGTTTGGATTGTTGGAGCAAGTCCAGAGGAGGGCCACGAAGCTGATTGGAGGGATGGAGCACCTCTCCTATGAGGACAGGCTGAGAGAGTTGGGATTGTTCAGCCTGGAGAAGAGAAGGCTCTGAGGAGACCTTAACAGCGGCCTTCCAGTACCCGAAGGGGCCTACAGGAAAGATGGTGAGGGACTGTTTACAAGGGCAGGGAGTGACAGGACAAGGGTTAATGGGTTTAAGCTGAAGGAGGGTCGATTTAGATTAGATGTTAGAAAGAAATTCTTTACTGTGAGGGTGGTGAGGCACTGGAACAGGTTGCCCAGAGAAGCTGTGGATGCCCCATCCCTGGAAGTGTTCAAGGCCAGGTTGGATGGGGCTTTGGGCAATGTAGTCTAGTGGAGGGTGTCCCTGGCCATGGCAGGGGGGTTGGAACTAGATGATCTTTGAGGTCCCTTCCAACCCAAACCATTCTATGATTGTTTCTGAGAAAACATTACCTCTTTTGATGCAACTTCATTTGCAAGTACATCTTTAGTTTGAAAAGCTTCCTGTTTTCCAGTGAGGACTTGTTTGTTCTTTGAGTAATAGTAAAACTACAGGCTTTCTGCTGTGGAGTTAGGACCATGGAAGTCTAGGCAGTTCTAGCAAGCTGGAGGTCTGCAAGTCTGAGAAAGCAGTGCTCCCTCTAACTGTCCAACACTAGGCCAGATGTCGTGAGAAAAGAACAAGGAGTCAGGAGGATTATGGGGTTGGTCCCCGGTTTAGCTCACATGGAGAAGCCTTGCTGCAGTTCAGAGACCCTAAGATTCCTTGTGTGTACACATGCATGTGTAGACACACACATGCACACTCTGAGTAACATGTAACTATCAAAAGGAAAACTTCTATAGTTTTACTTAGCATGCATTGAGTTTTAATGTTCCTGTTATTGTAGAAGCCTATAAAAAAGTGTTATTTCAATTTCAGAGGAAAATGTCTTAATACCCAAATTTATTGTGAATCTGAATTTTGGCCTGCTGACTGATAGACTGTGCATGAGACAACATCCCAGGAACTGCACTGAGAGCTAGGAAATATTTAATGTATTTGGAGGCCACAATAAGAAGTTTTTTCAGAAAGAAACAGAATTTAACACTGGCTTTGTTGGCGTTTTCCCCCTTCCTCATTTACATAGTGTGGCTCTAATTTACACTTATGAAGATAGTAGAAAAGAGTCAGTCTACTGACTGTAGTCTCTACATGCAAGTAATTAATAGTTAATCATGTAAACAATAGCACAAAACTGCCCTCTTGAGTGTAATAATAGTGAATTTTCTTTTATTGTCATCTTAATTCTTGTATGTACATAATCCCTCATCACTGCTGGTTAGAGACCAGTATTACCAGCTGCAAGAGCATCCAAATTTGTCATATCTGTTTCTCATAGACTTTTGCATGAGAGAAATACATTAAGATTTGTCTGAAGGCATTACTATAGCATTGTTACTGATCATGTGATATTTTAAAAGCTGGAAGCTGTATCTTAATGTCATAATTTCAGTTTTTTGTAGATCTGTACTCCTAGGTGTTTTCTTATTGAAGGTTGAAAAACACAACTTGCCTATTCCATTGTTAATTAATCTGTAGTATAAACATACTGCTTTTCTGGCACAATAGTCAAATTAGAAAAGTTGTTGTTCAGTATCTCAGTGATGCAGACTGAGATATCAGCTTTCCAGTGGATGCTACTGTATGAATTCTACACCATATTCAATTTGTGACATTATATAAATACTGAAATTAAAACCCCCACGTTATTCTGGTGGCATTTTCCTTCTTTAATTACATTTCAATCTGGATATATATTTTTTTTTTACTAGATCTTCCTCATCAAGTGCAGCTGAAGAGGATGTGCCAAAGTCAAAAAAACAAAAATCACACAAAAAAGAAAGGGAAAAGGAAAAAAGGAATAAATCTAAGAAAGGAAAACATCATAAAAAGGAGAAAAAGAAGAGGCAAAAGGAAAAAAGTTCGTCTTCTGATAGTTCAGACAGTTCTAGTAGCGACTGAGGTGCTGGCCTATTTTTGCATTCACGTCTGCAGAGAATATGATCTTCCTTTCAAATCAGATTTATTTATGCTTTGCAATGCTGTTATTTTAAAATGAGATATATATATTTTTAAGAAATCTATTTGCAAATATCGGTGCTTCAAATTATTAAATGGACCATTTGAGAAAAAAAATCCGCTCTTCTATTTCAAGTTTCTTAGTACACAACTTAACTGGTTCTTCACTGTTATTCTTAGTTCAGTTGTGATTAGTTGTGTTTGGAATCCTTTACACTAGGCTATGGTAAACTTCAGTTTGCGAGTGTTTGTGTAGAAAGATTTGGACTTCAATATGCTTAATGTCAGAAGGGTTAAATTTGGAAATTCAAGTAAGATTTTCTATTATGTTATCCTTTAAATGTATGTTTTGCCTAACTTCTTCTACTTACATACATTAATCAGTAAGTGCAAATATGAAATAGTGTTTGGGTCCAGATCAGGGAAAGAATGGGCAATGAGAAGCTAAAAGAGATTGCTCCTTCAAAATTATCTTCTAAAATTGATATAGTCATTACGCATTGTTTTGGCAGGATCACTGTGAGCAAGCTGAAAACAAACAAAAGCAAACATAAGTTATTAATTTTTCTAAGTCTGTCCTTTCTGCCTAGGTTTTGTCCTTTTACAATTTTGGCCATTTCATCTTTGACATAAATATAGAGGACCACTTCCTAACTAACAGCAAGATTGTTTACAAATTTCTAAGAACCATGTTAATACAGTATGTGGTGATTACTGCCTACGTAAACCAAACCAGGAAATTCAGAGACTTGCAGTTGACAAGAATCATGAAGCCTCCATTCATTCTAATACAACTCTCATTGACAAGTCAACAAACAAACAAACCAACCTTTTGTGGAACGTAAGCAATCTATGACGTTGAAGTCAGTAGTAAAATTTACCATTTGCCATTGGGAGCAATGTTAAGCCTGTCAAAATTTTACAGCTGGATTCTGGGGTATCCCATTCATATCTTGTACTGTGGTAGGGTGGAGGTTCAACACGTACTGATGCTTTTGAGTTGAGCAGATTTTAAGTGTGTAATCCTACCTCTGAAATGCCTAAACCTCAAAGTGCCTATGAATACAACTTCTTGAAAATGCTCTTCACGCCTTTGGTTTTCATTTGGGTTTTGTTTGTTTGTTTGTTTTGGTTTTTTTCTTTTCACTTAGAAACAGAACTGCTTCCACCTGAGCAGCTTGACGTACAGCTGCAATGTAAATCTCACAGGAATCAACATATGAGGAAGAGCAACACCTAAGCTTTCAGAACAATATTATCCATTGTCTATGTTTTTTACAGTGGGTTATAGCATTGAGTTAGTACAAAAGGCTTTATGGTATTTTAATGGTTACTACATTTGGCCTGAAAGATACCCAAATCTAACTCTGTCTTTCAAATTTTTATTTCTCAGACCAATACCCTTATTATTGGGCAACTCATGCTGTAGATGCTGTGCTAGCGAATGTTAAAGATCAAAATACTCATGGAAGCCACAGAGCAAAGAGAAATAATCTGTAACCTTCTCCATAGGTCTCTCAGTAGAGGATGGCAAGAGTCCTTGTATCTGCTCTTTTTCTTACTGGCTTTGGTCCAATCTAAGTTTTCATGTCATATATTGAATGACAAATTAGAGAATGGATAGAGGCTTAAAGTTCAGAAAAGCAACTGGTGTATATTTTAGGAGTCTTCCTTATACTTTTGTGTAGTTTCAAATAGCCATTTTGAATTCCAGTTCTAATTGTTGAAATCAAAGATTACCTGTCTAAATGATAGCACAATTACCTTCCATGTAGCATTACAACAGCTATTTATGGTAGTTACAATGGTATTTTGTACAAGAGTGTAAGGCATGAATTTCAATGTTTGTGTTTTGCTACTTGTTACTAGTGTACATAGATTTTCATATTGGAAAAAGGTTTTTCTAATTTGAACAATTTAAATATCTCTATTCTCTCAATTCATGCATTTATGTAACAATATTGTGTCAGCTTATTTTTCAGGCCATATTCTCATTTTACTTAAAGATGTACATTAAAGTAAATAGATTTTGCCACAGAAGTGCTTAATATTTCGTTGATAGATCAGTTAATATACCTGAGATGCTGCAATGAACAGTTCTCTGCCAAGTTAATATTTACTAATCTTTAAAAGTGGTATTAAAATAAATATTATTGTTTTTCTTATTTGATGTAGCCATAATTTTAGTGAGTCTGATGTGTCGTAACAAATGTTCTTACTTCACTTGAGTCTCAGCTCGAACCAAAATGCCTACTCTGATTCCAGAAAAAGAAGTGACATTCAGCAGGTTTAGGTATCAAAACAAGACTTCTAATATTAAAACTCAGCTACTTCTTCACTCCTGTCAGTTGTTACTAGCTTCCGTTTTCATGAATCACACTTTCAAGGGCAATACCTGATGTAACTGCAGCTGTACAGGCCAAGATACTGATTGTATGCCTGCTGCTCAACAAGCACCAAAGGTCTTACAATATGAAGGTGATGCCAGTAGAAACAAGGACTATCGTTCCTTGTCAGCTTACCTCAGTTACAGAATGAAATGCCTATTTTCAGAAAAAAAAAGAAAAAAAAAGCAGCTTGTGAGTATGAAGAAAAGCAATGAAGGCAAGGACATGGTAAATGGATAGAACAATGAAGAGTCGACAACCTCCATATGCCTTACAGTGAGCTCTGGAATAGAAACCAACCTCTGTCAATAGGTACCAGGAAACAGAGTAGATAACTGGTGTTTCCTTCAGTTGTCTTCCCCAGATAGCGGAGGAAAAAAGTGCACGTCTGCAACCCGTCTACTAGCTGGGGAGCAGACTCCGTGCTATAAAATGCACCAAAGGCTGGAATCACTGAATCAAAGCTGAATTAAGCTGTTGCTTTACAAATAGCTAAAGGAAATACACATTCACAGCACAAAAATCACAGCTTCATCATTCTCTGCAGCATGTGAGACACCATGGAAAACCCTTTAGCCTGTTCTCATGACGTAGAGTATATATACTTTATGTACCTAGAGTAATAATTCTTTTTAGCACAATCAAGTAGGTTTGTGTAACATGTTTTAACTTAATTTGACTACATAACAGATTGGCAGGAGGATTAAATAACAATGCAATAATCTTTTTCTCTTCAGATTTTGCTAAAGTTACACTTCTATGCTCAGTAGTTTTCATCTTTAGAGGCATTTTATCAATATGAACATAATTGCTGTCTTCATGATTCTTAAACTTCTGAAGTATTTTAGTTGCTACTAGCATCAGTTTGCAGCATGGGAAAAGTTATGTGTACATCACTGATACTAAATTTTTAAACATTAGTTTTCTGTTTTACCATTACATGCTCCTTTACCATCAAAATTTGTATGAATCATCACACACCATCACTCATCTATTTCACATTTTTTAGATTGTGCCATTTTCTAGTGTCAGCTTGTGTTGTTTCCAGGAGTTCTTCCTGAGTGTTTTCTGCGGATTAGGCACTTTGTTGTATTCAGAGCTCTCTTCAATGGTCTACATGGGTTCTTGCGCAGTCTGCGAGGGAGCATAAATGAGGGACAAACAAAAGCGTTAGCCATAGGTACTCAAGAGGTGGAACTAAAAAGAAAAATAAATTCTGAGTTATATGGTTTTATTACACAGCTCTACAACTGAAGTGTCTTGTCTTCTTTTTTTGTTTCAGCAATAAATCGTAGTGAAGAACCATAATATAGCCAGGAATTGCAACAAAGCAATTATAGCTAGGAAAGAATGCAATGTCTAACTATGAGCTTGAAACACACTAGGTAACCTTACAGGTTTGATCTTTAAGGAGATCAAAGGTGCTGAGATAATCAATGTGTATTGAACTCTGTATTTACTCAGTGCTTTTATACTTGACAACAACTATAGCAAAGTTGTAGCTGTAGGTCACTGAGGAGTATCATCAGTAATGAATCTGACATACTCCTTGGTGTCTGTTTCATACAATAGTCAGTTCCAGGACCTTCTGAGCTGCATTTTCAGCAGTTCATCTTTTGCAGGTCCTCACATCTTCTCTTCCCAGTCAAAAAAGGGGTGCAATCTGTAGGTATGCAGAACAGAATGTCAAATATCAAAAACCTTTTAATTCAACTGATTATTCAGTAGTGCCCTGCAGTCTCCACGGTAGAGCCAGCAGTGAAGCTGTTAGAAAGTTGTTCTGATGTTGCTGTGTCTTGGGGACTTGCCTATCTTAACTTCTCAAAATTACTGTACATCAGAGACTTAGAAAAAACACACACTTGGTGCCTCTTACCACAATTTCTCTGCCTCAAGGCACTGGTACCCAAGAAGGGCATTAATAGAGATTCTAAGCTGCAAATCACAATAAATAAGAACAAGGATGGTGTCCTGGTTCTGGCTAGGACAGAGTTAATTTTCACCAGGAGCCAGGACAGGTGAGCCGAGCTGGCCGGGGGGCTATTCCATGCCATGTGATGTCATGCTCACCATGAAAGGTGCTAGTCAGGGAGGGGTGGGTTTGGTGCAGCTATGGGACTGGCTGAGTGTCCGGTTGGTCGTCGAATGGGTAAATTGCTTTCTGTTGTCACCCATTGTGAACATTCCGTTACCAGTACTGGTGTTGAGTGTTTCCCTCTCCCTTGCTGTCCCAGTAACCTGTCCCCATCCCAACCCTCGAGGCTTTGCCGTTGTTTTTCCGTTCTGCTCCCCATCCCGCCCTGGGGGGAGTGGTGAGTGAGCGGCCGCATGGTGCTCAACTGCTGGCTGCGGCTGAACCAGTCCTTTTTGGCACCCAACGTGGGGCTCG